AGCGGCACCAGCGGCGACAACGCGCGCCGCAGCCCCTTCTGGAGGCTCTGGGTACTGCGCCTGCCACACGGAAGGCAGCCAGCGGAGTGAGTGAGTGAGTGAGTGAGTGAGTGAGTGAGTGAGTGGAGTGAGTGAGTGGTGAGATCTTGTGTTGTGTCAGTGAGTGAGTGAGTGATGTGAAGCATGAGTGAGTGAGTGAGTCAGTGAGTGAGTGCGTGACTGAGGAGGGGGCGAGGAGGACGGAAGGAAGGAAGGACCGGCGGATGCGGGCGGGATGCCAGCCAACAAAACTAGAACCCCACACAGAGATGTGGGGAATAAATGTTCCAGTTAATATGATGGCAGTTGAGATCCTTTAGGCAGAGCAAGTGGTTGTTTGTGGAAACATCCATTAATTTCTGGTTGTTTGGGCTTCTACGAAATAATCATGGAAGTGGATGGCATGGCTCCTTGGATGACCACCCTCTCTTTCACTGCTTGCAAGTCGCAGCTGGGAAATTGGTGTCACTTCCAGATCAATGGATCCCTCCTGTCGTATGGGTCTACGAAACGTGTTTCTATGTGTTTCCTGGATTGTACTGCAGTACGATAAGAGAAAAGGAACGCGGCAAAAGTCCCCCAATCCTACAAGAAGAACCCAAGATCAAAAAGAAGCAAGAACAGCAACAACAAGCTCCAGAGCCTACCACCCAGCAGCTCCAAAGACATGTTCAATTCGTTTCGAACCTGCAGCGGGACTCTGTCGCTCAGGTGACAACCATGTCGAGGCCACACTCTACACACCAGGCAGCGGGACCTCCACCGAATTCCACCGACACCTCGACAGGGTGAGCACGAGGAGCACTCGCGCCTCAGGCGGACGGAGCCCCCTTTACATCTCATGAGTGGGTTTTGTGGGAAAGGTGGCTGGCTATAGACATTGAGACAGCGGTGTTCAGGACTGGGCTCTACACTCTGCAACCAAAGAAAGAGGATAGGGTTTCTCTTAAATGCAAGTAGTGCAGGGGAAGTTGGATGGGAGCACACACCCCAGTCAGTAGGATTCAGCGTTGATCACAACACCATGCTTGGGGAGGTCTATTCTTCACAAGTTGTGCTCCGAACAGGGACGTACGGTGTGGAGAACCACCTGTCCTTACTTGCTCTTGGGAGTTGGGAGAATCCGATATTCTCCATGTTGACTGTGCACACCTGGCTGAAAGCATCAGACTTTGTTTTTGTTGAGCAGGTGTGTTCGTTGCCATGAAGGCATCCATGGTTGGCACAATTGATCTACGCAACTATGTCTTGATTTTTGGACATGTTTGGCTTTGACTTCACAGTGGATTTGTTGAGATCAAGAACGTTTTACCAGCAGTTGCTCGCAACAACTCAGGCATGCAAGTAAGCAAGCCTGGGCAGAACGACAAAGTGAGACAGCAATATACCGAAACAGTTCTCGGGACAGCGGCAAAGGGTGCCTACGTATCACCGACCTGAAAGATCCCAAAGAGCTTCATTGCGAGACGAGGCTCTACGTTTACGTGTTGCGTTGCGTTACGAACATCTCTGCAGTGTCAGGCCTCGTCACTCCACCAAATCTGTCCCAATTGACGCGCCCATTCCACTTCACCGTCCTGAGAAGATTGGCGTGTCCACATTATGACCTCTCGAATAGATGAAAAAAAAACACACACCAACTGATCAGTGTCTCTTCACCATCCGCTGGGCCTATGGCAAACGGCTGACTCGTGGCGGCCAGGTACCCCCCTCTCGTTACGAGCCACCGGAGCTGGAACAACAAATGCTGCAGGCTGCCGTGGCATTTCTGGGTGCATTTTCTTGGGAGCTGTCTTGGGAGCTGTCGCTTTTTGATGCAGATGGGCATAGAGTACATAGTCAGATGGTGACGGAGTCTAAAGACTACAAAAACGCCGGCTTTGTCTTCTTTTTGTGAGGGCGACAGGCCGGTTGCCCCGCGAACGCTCGGCCGGCTCCCCGACAGTCCTCCCGTCGCAGGCCTCCATCCTGGCATATGTCCGCTCCGTTGAGGTGCAGATCGAGACCCAGGCGGCGCGGGGTGGCGAGCGCCGACGTGCGGAGCCCCTCGCCGAGGGGCGAGGCAGGGGGAGCTACGACGCCAGGGTCGTAACGACCCATGGGAGCCGCAACTCGGAACGACCAAGGGAGTCGACCAACCCAACCCCGACAGCGAGATCTCGATCGGGTGATCATCTATCAAGCCCCCTGTCCCCTGAATGCTTCATCAACCATCTAAAGACCAACTTTGAGAAGGGTAATTGCACTTCCTTTGGCACGTGGTGCAGAAATCCCAACCTTATCATGCTATTCAGTATAGTATTCTTTGAGTGCAAGGAAGCATCATCCAAAGCCACATCTACTCTAGACGACTCTAGACTATACATAGACTCTGCATAGCGTTTTCCAAGCCATTTTTCTCGGGTGCTTCGGTCAGACATGGCCTGGCTGCCCCGCAGCCTTTGAGGCACCCTATCGAAGAGCAGTGATCACCAACTGCAAGCGGGTTGTCAGGCGCTTAGAGCAGAGGATCCGCTACCCCGCTGCAGACGAGCCTATGGAATCTGAGAATTGACCTCCATTTTCCTCTACACGCCCAGTGGTTTTGGTTTGCGCAACCAAACAACCGAAACTGCAGAAGGTGGTCATGGAGGTCCTTCTAAACTGTCTTCACAGCGGCGGCCGGGCCCGTGTAGCCGTGTAGCTGTAGGTTTATTGATGTTTATGGCATTTATGGCCCTATCTTTGATGCCGGGATCTCTTTCACCGGGCAGGCTGCCGCATGGGCATAGTCAACAGATTGGTCAAGTTTCAGGGAATTGTCCATTCTACGTTTCCATGCCTCAGGTGAATTGCAGGTTGATGGTTTGGTGCTAGCATCTCCCAACGACGATGGGATCCCAGAACTTCAGAGAAAGAAACCCCAACAGGTTAAAACACATCTCAGCTGTTGTGGGGTCCAGGATGTTTCTTTTCTTCGGACCTGTCCTTCCCCAGCACATCCTTCCTCGCAGATGCACGTCCTTCCCAGGCCCAGACCTTGTGGCCCCGCAGCTCCCTGGAGCTCTATGGCTCCTACGCCAGTGGCCTTGGCCTTCGGACCAGCGGCCTGGATCTGCTCCTCAAGGTGCCTTCGTCAGACAGGTGTATTCGTCGGTGAAACCACGGTGGGGAGAGCGTGAGGTGTGGCCCTGCCTTCTGCATCAGGTTGGCTTTGGATTGATTCACCCTCGCGGATTCCAAGGATTTGGGAACTTCGAGCTTTGATTGGACTGGCGCTCCGCCAATCCGTGGGTGTAGTTGCACATGAAAGCGGGCTGCGTCACGCGTCGCGCATCGCTCGGGCTGCGGAGGCTCGGAGGAGAACCATCCGGGGGCGTTGAATTCAGCATCGTCCGATGAACCACACCTCCTCCACGTTGGATGGCTGAATCCAAAAATTCGATGCATGTTGAAGATTGTTGAAGCTTCTTATGATCGATGTGTTTTTTTAAATCTACCCTTTCCAACCAAAGCCCTTTGTGTTCCTTAGTCAACCTTTCGGGGATGATCGTTGGATCGGTATAATGTTGATTCCCATTTGCCCAAACGATCCTCTCCGGAGGTAACGGGGCAACAAGCTCATCAATCCTGGCAACAAGCCCATTCTCGCTAAGAAAGTCTGCTCTGCCGTTGCCAGGTGCACCCGTCTTTCCATGGCTTTGCAACCTCCGAGACGCCAGAGGAGCAGGCAGGGAGCCTGCCTTTTTGCCTGACTGATCCCGGGCTGGTTGTGCTGATTTAGCACTGAGCATCAGGTTTCCGGGTGAAGGGCAAAGGCTCCTAGCCGCCGGGAGTCTTTCTTTTTTCCCCGAATGATCTGGGGCTGGTTCCGCACTGATTTCTCTCCCGATTACGGGTCCATGGAATTTTGCCAGACTTTCCACTGTTTGGAGCATGAGATGCATGAGACTGAGACCCTCCGATTCTGCCGACATCTCATTGATCTCAGTTGGGATTCAGACTTGTAAAGACTTGACAAAAGTTCATCTCCTGATCAAAGTTTCTTTCGATGACGTTGCAGCCACCGAGAGTTTCGTAGGGGCACAGGGATGCGCTATGCCCGAGTGTTGAATTCGCGAGCCTCTTTTGACAATCTGTTCAGACGGGTCCAGACATAGCATTTGCTGTGTTCAGGATCAAACTGGGGTTTCTCTACAACTTGTACATACAAGGACACACTGGGGCTCCATTTGGCAGCTGCATCCATGCTGCCATGGGTCGACTCGACTTGTCACTTGATCTACTCCGCACAACCCGGCTGAGTCGCGGCAGCTGGGCCGTGTGTTTCGTCCAGCGGTGAAACCACCCATGGAGCCCAACCGGCTGCCGGGGTCTGGGGTCGGTGACGTCCGGGCGGACATGCGGAAGAAGCGACAGAAGCGACCACGTATACCTTCCAAAGAATGGAAGTTCATGTTCAATCGCCCATGGCTTTCTGACCACTCCACCACTCCCGACGAAGCCATCGAGGCAGCCTTGTCGCCCATCGAGGAGGACGATGAGCAGCTTCGACAGTTGAAGTTGGAGGAAGTCTCGTGGCACCCGGCGTGTTTGGAGAAAACCTGCTACCAGGGTGTTGCCGTGGTTGTGTGCGCTTGGTGTAGAGCCAATCAGGCTGTAGATGATGGGTGTAATGAAATCATGGGCGTGGTCGCAGGGACTGCAGAAACTCAGCCTATATATCTTTATGAAGCGGACCCCGAGTGGTGAGTCTCATGCAGCTGACTGTATTGTGAAGCTCTCTTGTAGAGTGTAACTTGTGTTCTAAACCTGGCCTTTTCTTATTCCAAGTCAGTGAGTCAGAGTGTGGAATTCTTCCAGACCTGGCTATAATCAGCTGAAGACCTTCCTTAAAAGGAACGCCGTCGCCCTAGCTGGGCCCACAGATTCGTGATCTCCGCTCCAATTCACCTGGCCAGGCCAGCCCATTCAGCACGCTCGGTGCGGCCGCTGCAAGGATGGCAGCAGCAGCTTTCGGACCGCTTGGCCAAGGAGAAATGGGCCTGGAGACTCAACGGCTGATGAGGTCGGGACCTGGATGGACGATTTCCAATGCGAAACACATACGTGACACCCGCGTGGTCGACCAGGTCGTTGGTGTTTGGCAGAACCGGAACCGGTTGGGCCGGAACCGGGGCGGTTTTTGTGGTTAGGCCCACTTCTGGGTGGATCTGAGATTCTTGATTGATTAGATTCATCCTCCATTCGGTGGTCTGGTTCATTCCGAAAGGATCCGAAAGGATACAGCAAAAAATACAAAACAATCTCTGATTTGGCGGTGTTCTGGTTCTTAGTTCGAAATGATTTGATTCATTGATCTCCTCCTCTGGAAGGCCTGGTTCTCAAAGGTCTATGTGAAGGGATGTTCTCTGTTCTCATGCTTTGAATCAGGCAGGAGAGTAGGATTGCCACAAACTGTCAGCGAGGTTCCAGGGATTGGGCTTCCAGGGATTGACAATAGTACTATAGCTATGACATGCTGTAACATCCAGAAAAGCAGCAAAGTTTAAGAAGTTGTAGTGTCTCAAGAGTAGGATGGATGATGGATGATGATGCTTTCTATTCCTTTGTATCCTGTATAGATCCATTGATTCCCAGCGGATCCCCCTGCCTCCCCGGCCAATACCAAGGTGGTCAGCGACTCCATTCGCGTCGCCGCGCATGCCGCCATTCCGGTGCTCTCCTTCGCCGCGGCGCCCGAGGTGGGGCGTCGCGAAGCTGGAAAAAGGGATGATGGGTTCGGATGGGTTCGGATGGTTGTTGGCTTGGAAACAGTTAGATGCTTAAACTTAAACTGCATCTTAATGTAGACTGCTTGTTAATGTAGACATACTGTAATAGTAAATGAATGTAATTGAAGCAGAAACACTTCATTTGGAGAGCCAAAACTCTCCACCTGTGGGGTTGGATGGTTTTTTTTTGGAGTCTTTTGAAGCTTCGTGGGAAAATCATTTCAGGATCTGAAGGGACAAGAATGCTCTTAGGTGGTTTTATATGTTCCTCTCTTTTTGGACGTCCGGTTCACCACACTGTTCTCCCCCCCCCTTCAGCGTCTCACCAATCAGTCTCGTTCGCTTTGGCCAGGTGAAGCGGGTCAGTCCGGAGAACGAACTGTCCTTCATGGCCTGCCAGGGTCCCCGGTGCTGTAAGCGCCTGGTCCCGAAGGAGCTGGTTTTTGGTCCAGGTTCTGAACGGGGGGTTCTTCTGGTCCGTCGTTTCTTGCGGAGGCATCTGAGTCGGGCTCCATTTTCGATTGGGGAATCACTAGGTGACCTACCCCCTGGAAACCCCTTCCGGCCGGCGCCTTTGGATCAACTCGCGCCAAGCTCGAAGCTTGCATCGCAGCATCGCATCATCAGCATAGCATCGCTGCGAGATGTTGGAACAAAGTGGCGCTGGGTCCTGGGGTTCCTCACAATCCTCACAGTTTCGGTCCCCCCCCCACCCACGTGGACCTCTCCAGGCTCCACCCGCGTGGACATTTGCCTCCATGACTCTGGCTATCGTGGCTTGCGGAGTAAGGCAAGACATGTCGGTGCTGGGGGCCATGGTGGACAAGAAGTGAAAACCAACTCTCCACTTTAACTTTGATACAGCATATATATATATATATGTAGTACTGTAGTACTGTGTTTGCAGTATTTATATGAACTTGTGTATGAGTTCTTGCACACTCGCATATTCATGTTTCTCCTGAAATCCCTGACATTCTGGTGGGGCATGACGGCAGGCACTCATCAACTTCTTGCTGAATCGCTTCCCTTTGGCCAGGCGGCGCTGGCTGTGGCTGAAGCTTGCTTGATGGGAAAGCCCTCACTGAGACCATGGAAGCCCAACAGGGGTTATTTGTTGAAGGAGTTCAACTCGGAAAACAATTTGTTGAAGGCAAATTGGCTAACTCATGCTAACTCTTTCTGCAGTGGTCTAGGAGGTTTAGGGTGCAGGATGGATTCCACAAACAGTCGCAAACTTCGCTGTTTAGCATCATGTCCTCGTTTTTGATACAGATTTCTCACCCAGAGGATTTACAAACAAACTATTTTGAGGTGTAGTAGGAGACCAGTGACTCCCAAGTCTAAAACCCTCCGTGGGGGTTAACTGGGATTGCTTCAGTTTTGGCGCAAGCCGATACAAAATGCCGAAAATGCTCAACAAACCTTCAACTATAGCCAATTGTTCAAACGGCTTAGACTCAAAGGCCTCAATCCAGCCTGGTTAAGTTTATGTAAATAGACCTGCTGGTCACTGCATTGTGGGGCCATATCCTATTGGGGGACCAAAAGCAAGATGTTAATCGATGCTCCTGTCCCCGCAGGCCGGTAACCTTGGTGCTAAAGCAATGGCTTATCGCTGGGGGGCCCAGCGGCAACGTGGCAAAGCAGGCCTTTGGACCGACAGCAGGAGTTGGGCAGTTTGTTCGAGGCAGACCTCATGTGCAACGAAGTTTTAGCTTTTAAACTGGCAGCGGCAGGAGTAGGGTTTCAATTTGCTTCTGGAAGCCTTGGAACTTTTGTTGTGCTTTAAGCCTTTCAGCCTTTATCTTCTTTGGAGGAATAAACACCGTTGTGCAACTTGATATCAGGGTTGGTGTGCAAGAGCGCATAGGTGTGGTAGGGAACCGTGTTGTCTTGTGGTCTCTAAAAAAAAGTCGATCGTATGCCAGGACATGTACAGGGTCAGCTGGAGGCGGCTGGAGGCATAGTGTACATAATTGATCTTAATTAATCTTCTGGACTTTCTTTGCCTCCCACCCAAACCTTCAGAAGGGAATGAGCATTTGCTTGGTCTTTGATCTATCATGATCTATCGGGGTTTTGCTGACATATTTGCTGACTTTTCCATGCAAACAACCTATGCAACTCAGCAGTCTTTGACGACTTCGAAACGCCGCAGACAGCTCAAAAACAACACATCGCTGTACTCCCTTCGTAAGAAACCGCGACACGGCGACGCGTGGTGGGGGCCAAGGAGCAAGCCTATTCCATGTCTCACAGTGGAGGCCTTTGCTCGTATGGTTTGCTCCTGCCCCTGGGACCGGAACACCGGACAACGGAACGAAAAGCAGCCGCATCGGTGGATCGAGGGTGTTGGATCGAGCGTGGAAAACGATGTTGGCCTTGTGACCGGTCTGAGAAGCGTTGGTATGTGGTATGAAAAGGTGCGCGAGTAGGCCAGGACCTGGAGTAGACCATTTGATTACAGCTTAGAACCCAGGAATCCTGCCTTTCCATCCCGAAAGCTAAGCTGTTCCACCAGACCGTTTCGGGGGTGAAAGAGGGGCGAGTATGGCAAGTGTGGCTTGGTGTGGGAAGTCCATGTATATGTGAGCCAGCACCAGCTAAGAAGAGGAGAGCCAGCTGAACTTGATGAATATTAGCACGCTCGTATAGACTGTGGAAGCTTCCCTCCATGTTTTGCCACGTGATGGCTCTACAGCTCAATGTGATTCATATACAAACCCCAAGCGTCCCAAACGAATTACTTATTTCAGATACAGCTCATATACAGCTGGATGAGCTGTCGTCCCAAATATCAATGAGATTCATGATTCCGACCTGTTGGAGGTTTGATGTTTCCTGCTCTCCACTGCAACCGTCCCGATGGTGAGAGCGTTTTCCCGACAGTTCACTTAGACCCTTGCGAGCAAGACCGAGAAGACCATCCTGACATTGACATCTAGATACACAAAGATGTTTGATCTGGAAAAGCCACACATGGAGATGCCTTTTGTATCTTTTGTCATTGTATGGCATTCTCAGGGAGAGAAATACACACCTCAACAGTCCCAACTCATGCCCGGCCACACTGCCAAGGATGGTCATTGCCTTCCTACAGTACAGCCCGGCCAACACGGCAGCTGCGGCCACTAGGGCTGTACCGGTCAAACTTTGGGTGTTTCTTTCCTTTTCCAAGGGCCTCAATCAAATTAGACAGCCCAAAGATGCTGATCAGCACCAAGGCCTTGGTGGGTTTCCTGAACTTTTATGGCCACCGCTTCGATCCTCAGCAGGGTCGCCCAGTTGGAACCAAACGCTGTGCCCCGAGCTCCTTAGGTTGGGTCTGAGAGGACCTCATGCCCTGATGAGTCAGACTCATCTGAATTGCGTGCAATCAGACACCTGGTAGTTTGCATCCTTCCACACAGATTCTGCAAGCAGTTTTTGTTGCATTCGTGCCTTCATGATTGAGCTTGATTGACACAGATACCACACAAACAAGTTTTGGAGATGAAACTAGAGGAATTCTGGGACCTTCCTTGCAACCCGAAGCGGATCGACCGGGGGGTCTCGCACCTGACCTGAACCACATAGGGTGGAGAGAACGCATGGCGCTGTTGAGAAAATGGATGAATGAACCCCGAACCATGTAAATATACTGTATATATATAATATATATTTGGTTGGACCATGTTGGACCCCTCGATCAAATTCGTTCCCCAAATGGACATCCTTCCCCACCTCCCCTTTCGCCCGAGTCCGCGCCCCTTTCGGGCGGACCCGGACTCCGCCTTGCACCGCGTTGGCCAGGCTCTACGGCGTCAGTGTGGCTCGGAGCGCCTTTCTCCCGCGGAAGAGCCCGACGAGCTGGCCTCCACAGCAGGCTGTTTCACTCGGTGTCGGTCGGTTTGGTCCATAGTTGTCAGACCGGGAATCGGATCGGTTTTTGCAGGACGGCCACATGCTTGACCTAGTTTGCTGCTGCTTTAGCTCCACGTTTTTCTTCAATGGTAAGAGTTGCTTACGACAGTGCATATGTTTGGCTGAGGTCCAGCAATCGCGTCCCTGAACTTCTATCTTGTCCTCTTTCACGTAGAAAGGACGGGTCTGTCGCCTAGCCTTGTGCCAGGCAGAGCTAGTGGAGCGAGGCTTTCTGTCGAACCCCGGTGCTGCCGGCATGGTTCGGATGCTGCTGGACCGTTGGTGTTCAAGCAGCTTGGGGTGGTGTCGTACGTGTGCTTCCAGGTGCTGGAAACAGCAAAAGAACATGGCTCCCTGCATGTATAAGTAATTATCAGTATAATGATATAAATCTTTTGACTTCTGGTTTAGGTTTTCACATGGTTTAGACCAGGCTGCCGATCCCAGAGAGCTCTCTTTGGTCTGCGCACCCGACCATCGCGGAGTTGTCCCGCTGCACCCGGGGCGCTGCACCCGGGGCGCAGTACGAGCACCCCTGCACTTCTGGATTCCAGGATTGGCGGAATCTCACTTGGGAGCGAAGCTGGGGATTCGGATTCAGTTCGACCTGGATCTCAAGCTCTGTGGTTGACTGCAAATTTGTCATCGTCATTTAGATCTCTTTTGGAGGATTGTTCACCAAGAGTCCCTCCTAGGAAGTACCTCTCAAGACATATTGGGTACATCAAATCCCTAGATTTTGAGGGGCCCAAGGTCTCGCTCGAAAGACGCTTTGGAGTCGGAAACCCCCGTCGTCCTCAGCGAGCGATGGTTCCCCAGGTGACAATGAAGAGGCTCATCGCTTTGATCCTCTCTTAGTCGCTTGGCCATCCACTTTGCGCACCTGGGGCAGTGTGACTGGGGAAATGTTGCAGGCGGGCCACTGAAGGCGCAGCAATTGCGCTCCGTGCAGTGGCAGTTCAGGGACTGTATATGCTCAGACATCAGCTTTAAACATGGCATGGTCAGCACGCCATTTGTTTGGCCGTAGCCTTTGAAGTCTCCCAGCGAACCAAGACAGGAAACCAGAGTAAGCCTGGCTTGGTACTTGGTGTTACGTAATTCTTTCTTGCTTCACAGCCCTTCTTCCATCTTCTTCCCAACTGGTCCATTTGCTTTCATGGATCCCTGTTTTTGTCACCTTTTAATTGTGACCTGGGCTCAAGCCAACACCTTTGACTTCTAGTCTAAACTTACCTTTATTTGATGCAGGTGACTGCTTTGTCTGGCGCAACAGTTGCGGAGCTTAATGAGGATGAGGTGCGTTGCATGGTGGAAAGTTTGAAAGCTGTTCGGGACCTAAAGCAGCTCCTTTCAGCTGAGGTTGGGTGCGCAAGGTTTCGTCAAAGACTCTTCAGTCGACAGAATCGGCGAACTGCAGGATGACATGCCTTTACGACCATTACCAAATATTCAGCTAGTAATCCTGCCCTGTTGTGCTTTCGATGAGGTTGCGGAGGAAGAACTACGTCGCAAATGCAAAGAAGAGAATGTCATTGCTGTTGAACGGCTGCTTCAGGCTCCGCAAGACCCGAATGGGGGAGGTTTGTTTGTTGCAGCCATGAACTCTCCCTGAGGACTCTGCCTAGCGAGTGGCTTTGCGTGTCCTTAACCCGCGACAGGTTGGGACACTCGCAGCGCTACCCCCCCCTGTTGCAGCCATGAACGGCCACTTGGAGGTTGTGCGATTGTTGCTGGAGGCTGGAGCTGACAAAGATGTAGTGAGGAGACATGGGGCAACAACTTTGATTGTTGCAGCAAAGAAAGGCTGAGTGGAAGTCGTCCGCCTGCTGCTCGAGGCTGGGGCTGACAAAGAGGCAACAAAAATTGTGGGGCAACAGCCTTGATTGCTGCTGCCGTGAAGGGCTACTTGCAACGGCATTGATTCTTGCGAGCCAGAATGGTCACTCGTATGTTAAACAGTTGCTGCTCCAAGAAGGCTGGTCTTGAGTCTTGACCCCTCAGCCCATGGGGCTGGACTTGCCTGTGGGGGCCATGACAGCCAGGAGGTCTGTTCTCAGAAGTCGGACCCTGACAATGGCCTCCTGGAAGATTGTTTTCCTATGTTTTCCTCTACCAACCAGTGCTTTTCAGGGTCCATGTTAGTTAGTCTTCCAGGGTGCAGCTGATTTGTTGGATGGTGACCAGATGACAGTCAGCCTTGGATGTTGGAAGAAAAGGAGCTTTGTCACTTCTTGGGGGTTCAAAAAGCGAAGGATTCATGTGGACTGGTTCACATGACCCCCACACCCATAATATGGGAGTCACATCTTTCTGGAAGGGGGCCTTGATCAATCAACTCTATTACACATAATCCAAGAATCCGGATCTCCTCATCCTATTTCATGACAGATCTGTTGCTGTCAGGGACTTCAAAGATGAATTTCCCCTACCATGTAGCGGTGACATAATAGAATATATTAGAAGCTGCGGGAGAGCAAATGCTCGCGTATAGTCTTGCGTATATACCTACTATAAACGTCTTTTCGACCCTACCGTGCATATAAGTGGTGATGTTGACGGGTTGATTGCAAGAATCCCAGTTCCTTCAAAGTGAAGCTGTGTCAATAATTTGGGACACAGCTCGATGGACATCCAGAGTCTTGTGGAACAGTTCGGGTCTCTTTGGGCGACCGGTTTGGTGAATGTTCACCAGACCTGATGTATATATGAGATGCTGAGATGCGTATATGCGTTTTTCGTGTGATGAGAACCTGGTGGCTTCTGATTTGCTACAGTTTTAGCCATATTCCTCAACCTTTGGGGCTCTTAGCGATGCAACACCGATGGACATAGCGCAAAGCTGGCTGCTGGCACGACTTGTGTTCGCCATGTTCGGACTCCGCTACGACGGCCACGGGGTGGCCTTTGATCTACATTCATGCTTCGATTGGTATCGCTTTCTTTGCCATGGTTTAGCAGTATCTTGACGTGGCATTTTCAAGAAGACAGACAGCCTCTGTTTCGGTGTCTTTTTAGCACCGAAACAGGCCATGGCCTGTTGTTCGTCTTCCAATTCATGAAGAAAACAAAAAAAGAACACCAGGTGAGCTACGGTGAACACCACGGTCCATTGAAAAACACCAGGAAAGACCGCCACCGCCACCCCAGGTTGAGGATCCGGTGAACCCCACCAACAACGTTGGGTCCGGGACCCGACCAAGCGGTAGGGCCGGCCGACCCGGGGGTTCCCGGTCACGGACCGGGAACCAGAGGAGGGCGGAAGGGACCGGCCATATCTAGGACCACGAATTGTTTGTCACAAAGGCCACCAAACTTGACAACTTGCAAAATGCCTTTACATCCGGAGGCTCCGGAGGCATGTGCAGGAATTGGCAACTAACCCTCGACAAAGTTTGATTGAGTTCTACTTGTGTTTTTGTCCAAGATGGAGATTTCACGGTCCTTTCATGTCCTTTAGCTTAAGCATTGAACTAGAACCTCGATCAAGATATCTTGGACCCGTCAAATTTCAACCAAGAAACTGTTGGCTTGGTCGGGGCGTTAATGGCTGGGACCCGTGTGACATTGGTCTGAGGAATCATCAAGGTCGCAAGACTCGGCACAAAAAAGAACATCAAATAAACGTTGCGACGCGCTCAAAATGAACCCACCTGTTTGCGTGCAAGGTGTTTCTGTTCCTTCGCATGTCAACTTTCGCTCAACACAGACCTTGCTTGCCAGCCAAGATTATGCCCATTCCTTTTCCCCAGTACCTTCAGAGAAAGCATGGATCTGTTGAAGAGGGACTGCAACAGCATGTAACCCCAAAAATTCTAGCATGTAAGACATACCAGGATCTCCAACTATGCAACATTTCTGCCTTTGGGCTGCTGTAAATGGCGTTGGAAGATCCGGCAGTCCGGACTGCCCCCCACCAGCAGGGTGCGACCCTCATGGGCCCCGAGGCGCAATTGCTTTCGGATCCGTCAGATTCAACGGTCCCTGGCGCGCGCGGCGGACCTCATCAGCGGTGAAGTGCGGACCTCGTCGGTGAAGCCGTGCGCGTGACGCCGCGTGACGCATGCCTTTGTCGGTGTGGTGTGGCTTGGCGCTTCGTTCGAGTCGGTAGAAGAGCCTGGGATGTGGGGAAGAAGATTGAAACCCAACATTTGGAGTGTGTGAGATTGGTGGAAACATTTGTGTTACTCATTCTTTGTCATGGTGTTTCTGGTTTTCGATCCCGTCGTTTTGGCTTTGCCATCCTGACAGCTAGCGGGATCGTGGATGGCACATGAACCTTCTTCGCTCGCACGTAGGGACTCTGGGATCGTCGTGTCCGAACGTGGACCGATCCTGGGACGTGGAAAGGCGTGTCCGTGGACCGATCGTGCCCGGTGTGGACGCGGAGAGAAAAGAACGTCGACCATGCGAAGAGACCGGTTTGATTTGGGGATATCAAGCAGAGGTCTCTTGCGAACGCATGGGTTTGATTCGGGGACAAGAAGCAACTGCGTCATTGGAGACACATCATGAAGACATGGAATTTCCGAGATGAAATTGCACACCATTTCCCCGGACCAGCACCACCCGGACCGGCATGGTTCTCAGACACCCATGGCTCATGTATTTTCCAGTCCAATGGCGCAACCCCTTTGGGTGATGCTGGGAGACTGGTGTTTGTAAAATGAACATTGACATCTTCCAGGGAACGACCCTACGAGCACTTTTGCGAGTTGGGGAGCCCGGGTTTAGTTGGGAAAAACGGGTAAGCAGGGTTGGTTCGTAGACTCATGTGGTTAGTTATCAGTGAGACATAGTTTAATTGTTGACTTGGCTAGTGAGTTTCTTAGATGCTTAGGTAAAATTCGTTATATATTGTTCTTGAGGTACTTGGCTAGTTCCCGTAGACAGTTGGTAAATCGCTTGCTGCTTGATTGACCAGAGTTTATATAGCTGTTTGTTAGTACTGCACCTTAGATAATGGTTACTTGCTTGTTTGGGCTGATTAAGTTGATAGAGGCAAAGTAACAAGTTTGTCTCAAGTTTGACATATGACATGAAACCTGGACATGATCAGAGTATTTGTAGAGTCTTGGGGGAGCTTCTGAGATTTGTCACAACATTGACATTACAAATCTACAGTTGACGCAAAAAAGCAGCTCCCAGACAGGAAGCCAACGATTGCGCTTCATGCGAATGCGCCAGTGGTGGCAAAGTTCAAGGTCAAGGTCTTGGGAAAAGCACCCAGGTTTTCAAACCCAGGTTCCGCCAGGTTTTCAACCTGTGGCTGCGGATGAACCAAATAATAGACCCAAGACGCAACTCCTGTGACGGGGAGGCCAATTTAAAATGTCATTTGGCAAATAGACCCGGCCTCGCAAAGATGCC